CTCTCTGTGGTATTTAATGAATATTGTTACTTAATACTTGTCAGTTGGGAAAAGAAGAACTTAGCAAATTTTTCCCAAAGTTTTGATAACTTTTCCAAAACTGAGAAAAGGTGCCGCCACAAAGTTAATGGCTTCCCTTCTGAGCATTCCTCAGAGCACATAATATCTGAGCCCACGCTGTCAAAGACAGTAAGGTAAGTAAATGACTTGTTGGCACAAAACTCATCTTTTCAAAGAATCCAGGTGGCATTTAATAACTGGAAGAAATGACTTACTCAGTACTGCCTTGGTTATCTATGAGAGTTCATCAACTTCCTGAAGGTCAGTCAGTCTACAAGCACTTCCTTAAGTATTTTCTCTGTATTAGGCACTGTGCTAAGCTCCCTGTCCCTCATGGAGCTCACATTCAAGTGGGGGAGATAAACACAAGTAATTATGTACATACCAGATATATACAGAGTTTGTTCCCAAGATAGCAGTTTAGTTACAGGAGGCATAGCTAGACCACTCCAGCAAAAAAAAGTGATGACAAATATTTTAGGGTCCTCACCTTTTTTGCAAGATAAGGAGCTAAAGAATCAACTGAAAATTTGTAAACTTCCAAGCAAACTCTGCCATCAGGAAGACATAGGCACTGGAAAACAAGTTGGCCATAGGGTCAAGCAAAAACTTCCACACCAGCAATGATGGATCGTCACAAGGGTGGTGCAAATCACATCTTAGGGATAGTTAGGCTGAAGTTGGAGAAGTAAAGAGCTTGATTCAGATGTGTGCACATGGCTCAAACCTTTCCAAAAAACAAGAAGCAGAAAGAATGCAATGACCAGGTCAGCTAAAGGAATTATCTTTACAGCAACAACTTCAGGCATTATCAAAGTCCTTACTACGTGCCCAAGATTGTTGTAAGCACTGTGAAGAACACAACAATTAAATAAGAAACAACTCCTGCCTTCTTGTAACTCCCAATCTAATATCAGTCTCATATGAGAAAATAACTACCTCTTTTATCACAGACTGGCCCACTTCTAAGGTTCACAAGAGGCTCCTTCCTTCATCACAAGATCACAGATTTACAGCTGGAAGAAAATTTTAAGTCATCTAGTGTAAATTTCTCATTTTCCAGATAAGGAAACAGGCCTAGACAGGTGAAATAACCTGCCTGAGATCACACAGATAATAAAGAAAAGAGCCAGGACTATGATCCTGGTCCTCCGACTCCAAATCTATCACCTCTTCCACTGAATCACTTTGCAACTAATCTACCACTGCTATTGACTTCATGTTAAACAAAAGGTAACAACCCTAAGTTCTACTTTTCAAGAAGGCATTTGTTAGCTATATTGGAGAGAATCAAATTAGTTGTAGGAGTTCCTGAGTACTCTGCATGATTTCAGGTAGATGATCTTTTGGGGAATTAGTGTACATGGTAGTGGCAGAAAACGAGCCTCTTTCAGTTAAACATCCAGAGACATATTAGTGGCCGTGCCTAAGGCAATCTGTTGTATAAACACTGCAATGTCTAAGAGCAAAGAACCTCAAGAATGTCTTATGCTCATGTCATTTTCCTTGTTGCCTCCTGAATAAATTCCTTCTAGTGACACAGGTTTAGGTCTATACTGTTTTTTGTTCAAACCCATAACAAGACGGTCAAGCACAAGGTGCTGACCTGAAAAGCTAATTTTATTTCCCCATACACTCAAAGGTGTTAAGCAATACTGTTAGTCTGGAAATAGTATTTGCTATTGACCAGCTCAAAAGGCTTCAACAGAATTTTAAACTTCTAGATGAAAGGATCAACTTTCCACTTTTCACAAATAAGATACATCAGTGGTTAAGGAATCTCTTTCCCTGGAGAATTTGAGAACATAAGGTAAGTTACCAATTGCCCAAGATGGGTTAAGCCCATTCCATGAAGTCTTCCTCTATTCCCCTCAGATCTCATACAGTGCTTTGTTTAATGCCCTTCTGATGCATTTGTGTGTAATTTTGCATTAAAGTTATCTGTCCTCCTTAGAACTCTGATACCTCAGCATGGAATGGAGGGTAATCCTTAGTTCTTGAAGTCACTGTGAGTGGATCCCAAGTTCTACCTGGTTCTAGGAAATTTGAAAGACTTAGAACATGGGCTAGGGGACAGACTACATATCTGCTCTGTAAGGGCCAGCCTAGTCTTATAACATAATGAGCTTTCAGTCACCAGAATTAGAACAGAGGCTGGCTGGATAATCATCTGTCAGGAAGGCCCCAAAGAAGATTCTAGATAACTGCTGAAGTCTCTTACAATGCTAAGATTCTAGGTATTATAAAAATTCATTCCAATAACTGAGAAAATTCACAATCAAACTAGCTAAGTCTACTATATAATATTGTAGACTTATCAGTCTTTAAAATTGATGGTATGTTAATTATAGACCTGTAGATAATTACAGACCTATAGATAATAGATATTTATCCAAATTGTCTACAATACTACTATAGTAGGGTTAGGCAAAGTTTTCTACAGCAACCGGAAAAAAAAAACACTATCCCTTATATAAAGGACTTAGACAAGTATGAGCATATGGAAGATGAGGAAGTGAGATGGCATCTCCTCTGCCTTCAAAATGGTAACAAATAGCAAGATCTCTTTTATTTCACACAGAATCTTGGTATTCTTACAAGCTTCTATGAAGGGAGAGAAGGACATGAATCATTAATCCCATGAATCACTAATCCTATGGGACAAGCAGGAAGGAATCCGAATCTTCAAAGACAACTGTACTGTTAAAGCCAATTACATTTTTCAAACACATATCCCTTCAAATCCCCTGTATCCTTGCTTTACCATGCCTGTGGTCTCATCGCAGCTAAGTAGAGTCTGTGGTTTTGCTATAGTGGCCTTTGCAACTGTCCAACTATTGACAAAATAAAATGCAGAAATCCATACACTGCTGTGCTAACAGATGTGTAAAATTACAATGGAGGTTGTGGGGCAACAGGGAGGGAAGGCTCCCCGATGTTTAAAGACTATAGATGTGATAAGGGGCCTGAAAAGACTAAGCAAGGTCAGTGGAGTCCTGCTATCAAGGTGGGTCTTGCTTATATGTAAAATGCTAATAGCAGCAGTCTGCTATTACAGAATTCCATAATAAAATGGTTTGATTCATATCTCCTCAAAACCCAACAGCTAACATGCAACAAAAAGCTGATACAATATAGTTAGACTTTAAGACTGGATGTGGCTCTTGTCTCTAAGACAGTGGTGTTATAAAGGGGTTCTACCATATGGACAGATCAGAGAGCTCAATGCTGCGAAAAAGAAGCAGTCAATAGTCACAAGGGCTATCAGACCATCCACTATAGGAAATCATTTCATTGTTTTATTTCCTAGGCCACAGTAATCCCCTTCCTCTTTGAAACTAAGTATTTTGAGTGATTTTTTATAAATGTATAATGACAGTCACATAATGACAGTCATGAGTATATCTAGCTTTTTTTGACATGGGAACACAGACTGCTGATTGCCTTGGTCCTTAAATAGTTTCTAGGTGTCCTCATAATTGCATGTCACCTGTAAACAGGTTTCAAGCCAATGCAAATTAACAAATGGTGAACAGATGGACCAAGAACTGACTTTTGTCAAAAGAGTTAGCAAAAAAACACTTTTTGGCTTTGGTCTTAAGGGATCACAACAAAAAAGCCCACCATTTCTAACCAAACATCTTGCCTCAGTAGAACTGCCATGCACACAAAATGAAAAGTAATAAGGCCCATTAGAATTTTGAGAGGTGGGAGGTACGATCTGTAAAATCACTGAATTAAGACAGAATCAACAATGTAATTTTTCATTCTCTGGGCAATTAGCCAAATAAGCAGAGTTGTTAGCAATGCAAGATATGCACAAAAATTGCCACTGTGTTCCAAAAAAGTCATGTTATCTATACAAGCTGTGTGAAAGGAAAAAACACTTGCAACCTAACAGCTAGATTCAGTGGCCTGAGCAAGATCTGATGATAGGTCAAGGCTTAAATCTGAGAAGCAAAAGTACCAATACATGGCTACTAATAAAGAAATGATCACCAGGACAAAGGGAAAAAGGACAGAAGACCACTTGCCTGCCATGTTCACGGTCTTGTGCAAACACACAACTTGTAAGAAAACTTTTTGGAATAGAAGTCAGAAAACAGGTTTAACCAAGAGGTGCAAGTAATAGAAAGTTATTTCCCTAAAGAGTCCAGAAAAGAAGGGAGTGCAGGGACTCAAACCATACCCCCCTCACTGAGGAAAGAAGAGAGAGAAGGGAAGTACTAAGACTATCTCCAAACTCAGGTTCATAGAATGTTTGTAAAAGGGGAAGGGATCCTAAAAATTTTCTTGTCCAGTGTCCATTATTTTAAAGATTAGACAATGCAGCCCTAGAAAGTTTAAATGGGAGGAAGCGGGGAGAGAGGATGTACAAGGGAAAAAACATTTATGAAGTGCCTTGTGTGTGTTGGGGACCGTGCTAAGTGCTTCACAAATATTATTTGCCCAAGATCAGAGCTAGAATTGGAACTCAAGTCTACCAGCTACAAGTTCAGTGCTCTCTCCATTAAACATCAGCTCTTTCAATCAATCTCCGCAGCCCAACACTACTTTGGTGCACAGCTCACAGCAGACTATGCACAGCCTGTTTCATAGAGTCAGATCCACAATGATAACATCCGTCTTCCCGTTCCTACGCTACCTCACTGACAAAAAAGGAACAAAAGTACTTCTCTGTTGCCTGCTTGGACAATGGGAGAAGGGAGCAAAGAAAATCTATGAAGCATCTAAAACCCTAGGCAGAAAAGTTAAGACACAAAGCTAATGAGTCACATAAAACATACTACTATTCTCTTTAGAGTATGTTTTAAATTCACCATAATAGAGCCATTCTTAAAAGAAAGGCTCACGAATAAAATGACATCATTTAGTGGCCACCCAACAAAATAACAACATGAAATTCATGCAAAACTCTTCTGTAATATCTCAGTACTCACTGTGGAGGTAAAACAAGGGTTGTAGGCTGAGCTTTAGGTCTCCGTTTTGCAGATACTCCCATCTGGTTGGCAGAGCGTTTCAGAGACTGTTGATTCAGGAGACCAGAAGCTAGACCTGCATGGTACTGCAACTATATAGGGGGGGAAAAGTACAAAAAAAACCCTTAGTATGTTCCATTCTGGTACACACCTTCCAGGTATGTCTAAGCCCTTTAGCCTAGTCACATAATTTCAAATAGAATTAATGTCCCAAAAAGGAAGGCACTAACAAGGTTATTTTAACTTTTATATCATCTGAATAATGAACTGTATATTTTTCACTGAAGCCTAGTTTGTGAAGAGTCTAAATAGCTTTCCTTAAGTGTGAAAGAATAAATGATTGCATGCCAACAATTATGAACAGCATAACCAAATGACCAAATTCAGTAAGAAACAAACCAGCCTCTGGAGTCTAAAAGAGAGATCAGGTATAAAGGCAATATTAATGACAGGATCATGACTTCAAGTTTATAGAAATGAGCACGAGTACACTGATATTTGCTGAATTAATAACAACAGTTTAAATTTACATAGCATTTCAAGGCTTACAAAACATTTTATACATTATCTCAACAAAGCCTCATAATAGCTCTGGTGGTAGGTGAAGTAGATTAGTAAACCAGAGCTCAGAGAAATTAGATGAACTACCCAAAGCCACATAGCTGATGTTGGAACTGGCACTTAAACTCAGGGGGCTTTTTGACTCCAAGCCCATACACATACACACACACACACACATACACATACATATATATACACAAACACACACACACACACATACACACACACACATACATATATATACACAAACACACATGCACATGTATACATAATGAAGACCCTTTGATATTGTTTTATATATATATAAAAAACAATATCAAAAGGTCTTCATTAAATTTTGGTTCTGTTGTTTTTTATACGTGTCTGACTCTGTGACCTCATTTGGGGTTTTCTTGGCCAAGACACTGGAGTAGGTTGCCATTTACTTCTTCTCTAGCTCATTTTACAGATGAGGAAGCTGAGGCAAACAGGGTTAAGTGACTCGCCCAAGGTCAACACACAGCTAGTAAGGCTGTGAAAGTCTGAGTTAAGTCTGAGGCCACACTTGAACTCAGGAAGATGAGTCTTTCTGACTCTGCCCCCAACGCTCTATCCACTGTGCCACCTCACTAGCCCCATTAAATGAAGAGAGTGAAAGAAACTGAACTGAATGAATGAAATTGAGAGAAGAAACAACTGCCAAAAAGACTAGAGATTGCTATAGTTAGTGGCAAATTGATAAGACTGTTTTTAAAAAAGCAGTAAAAGTTAAATCTTATCAGTATTCACACTAATTAGTTTTATTCCTTATCCACCCAAACGTCCAACCTTCAACTTAAGGAAGAACAATTCAATTTACTTCTCCATACCTCAGTTTTCCATGTGGAAAATGGACTTGATGGTACTTGCTCCTGAAACATACTCAGATTAAGAATGCAACTCTATTATTCTCATTTATCAGCACATAAACCTAGTCTTCCTCCTTAATTTAATCTGTCAAGTAGTAATGTCTGTCTGTTACTTTATCTTCCCATTTCAAATCCAACACTTCTGTATTTTAGCTCTCAGTAAGAGATGTCAGCATGTGTCTCTCTACAACAAAATGTTAGTTGAAAGGTATTCCGGTTTTACAGAGATGTAAATAAAACATTCAAATGTGAAAATGACAAGTTAAGAATTTGGATTAGTACCACTTACAACATACAGTCTGTTTCTTCCACCCTTCTAAAATTATAATACATTCTTTTAAGCACTTAGAGTCAACCAAATATACAAATAGTAATTCATTTGGCAGCTCTGAATCAATTTCTTTTCAAAGTGATCTTGCTAGGCATAGATTTCCTTTGGAAAATCAGTTATACCACAGCTTTTGATAATGAAACTGGTCCCCACCATATATACAAAGGGCTAGGCCCCGGATGCAAAGGCTAATAATGTTCTGAAAAATAAATGGCCTTAGCTAAAGCTATTGAGCCGAGCACAGTCAGAGAATGAGAAAAACAAAACCAATTGAAATGTTCTGCTCCTCGAAAGTGGCCATAAAAATGAAGATATTCAGTGACCCAACAGGACTCGAATGTCAGTGTTTAGAGCATCCATATTGCTTTTTAACAGGCTCCTGATTTACTCGGTCGATGTTGCTGCATGAGCCATACACAACACAAGACAAAGATATATGGTATTCTTAATAAAAACAGAGTTCTTTCTCAGAGAGGGAAAAGGGGGGCATCATTTGACTCTAACAATTCATTGTAGACCAATGAATTTTGTTCAAATTTGTTTTTCTTGTACAGATTTTTTAAATGGGAAATCAATGGAAGCAAGGGACAGTACAAGTTTGAAAGACAATGTTTCAAAATGTCAGCGACTTGGGTTTTCGATCTTCCCCACCAGAATTTGCAATGAGTGCAATATGCACAAGGTTTTATGGAATTAAAGATAAAGACAGCTTGGCAACAGCCCCCTTCTGACTTAAGAAACATTCTCTCCTCTTTCCTTTTCTTCTCTGCATCTTTATTAGGGTCCACGCAAGCTCAGCCATTGCCTCGCTGCTGACTTTACTCTGGAAGAGCTCTGCTGGCTATGCATCAGAGTGGCATGGTGGCTATTCTGTCCACCTGGCCATCCCTCACATCACTTGCCCAAAACAAACACAGAACCAGCAGAACTGCGTGTTAATCACCATCTGACGATGAATGTTTTCCCATGAAAACTTGTGCCATCTTGAACTCAGTCAATATATGCTACACTGCTTGAACATGTGTAAACAGAAAGACTCCCACTCTTGAAAACAAAATCCATCCTTGAAAGCTGACTCACAGTGATTATGAGATGTTTGTTAATCATATATACCTATACCAGCTTCCAGGAACAGACCTGACTGTCAAGATCTATAAGGGCCCATGAAATATTTACCAAACCATCTTTATAATAGGGGAAAAAAGGTCAAAGTTAATAAAACTGATAGGCAGCTCCTGTCCAACCTGGTGTATATATTATTTAAGGACAATATACACTATTTCATGGAGCACAGTTGTGATCTGAAAAAAAATTCTTGGAAAATGTTCACTTATCCAATAGCTGTGAACATCAGAAGGGAAATTTAAATAATTCACAAATTAACGTTAAGAACATAGCATTCCACAAATTACAGTCATAAGTTTTCATTTATAGGTTCTGTAATATTTTCTATAAGAACACATTTCACTAAACACACTACTCTCAAGTGTCTACATCACAGAAACAACTATTTCATAAAGCAACATCCCAAAGTTCTAATGTGATTTTTCTATCTAGCATCATTTCTCCTCTTAACAGCAAGATTCAACAGAATGAAAATAAAAGAGTGGGGGGAAAAGGAAGGAAGGGAAGAAAATGGATAGAGAGGTAAAGGGCAATGGGAACTGAATGCTGCAATACAGAGTCAGACATGGCTGTACTGTTTTTCTTTGTTACAAGGTAAGATTGAGGGCAGAGGAGAAAATAGGGAATGAATGGTACAAAAAAGGCATCAATTTTTTTTTAAATAACAGGAAAGAAATAAAACAATTTAGCCTTCTGACTTCAACACAGTTGGTTGTTTCATTCATTTTATTTGCTAGCTGATACCCAGAAATTATACTTGTTTACCCTACATTTTGAGGAAATGTCTTAATGATAATCTTTATGACTACTAATCCTACTATTAATGATCTAGGGCTACAATGCTAGGGGCTCCTAATTTAAGTATTTGTCAATCACTTTCCTTTCTTGATGCATGTTCACTCATGTAAAAGGTCAAGAATTTAGAATTAGGGACAAGATCAGTCAAAATTAGGGGACAGTCTCAATTATTAGAATACTTTAATCTTTCTTACATGAATTATTTACTTAAATCATATTTCCACAGGCAGCAACAGTAAACTTTAAGTCAACACTTTTCAAAATGATCACCAAGTTGAAATTTATGAAGGTAGTTAGTGCTTCCAATTATACTTAGCAACATGGATTAGAAGCAATTACATTAGTCAAAATTATAGAATTAAGAATGGAATTCATAAATCCCAACTCAAATTAACTCATACCTAATTCTTATACCAAAAAATTTGTGACTTCCTCTGTTGTTCTTAACAATGTGCTATAGATGCCATATTAGTGAGAATGCTTCCAATACCACTAAAACACCCCGTTTCACTATGAAGAGCATGATATTTGGAATTTAATGCTAGGACAAAAAAGAAAACAGAACTAAAAGACAGCATATTGGCTGAATCTAATAAATAGGGAGTGTTCAATTATAATTAATATTTCAAAACTAAGGTGCACAATGAGGGACAGTGGACTCACCATGGTAGGCACTTCCAGAATGATGCGTCCTACATTAAACACAACAGCAACAGCAACAACAACCAACAAAGGAAAAGCCAGTATTACAAAACAGACCAACTGGGTGAAACTTTACCTGAAAATTTTTTCACTATAAGTTTCTTTAAAGATTTTATAAATTTAAAGATTTAAATGCATTGCATTTAAAAGATTTACCAAAAGCAAACCAAACTCTAATTTAATACATAAGTTTTTAGGTATATAGGTAATGCATCAGTCTAGTACAAAAAGCACTGGTTCTAGAATCAGAGATTTTGGGTTCAAATCCTCCCTCTGACATCTCATACTGGTGGTCACTTGGACAAGTCACTTAATCTCCCTATGCCTCCTCATCTGTAAAATGACAGCATTGGACTGGATGACCTCTGAGGTCCCTTCTAGCTCGAGATAGATGATATGCTAGTCAGCATGCTAAGTGATGGAGATAGAAATACCAAGAATAAAACAATCCTTACCTCTCAAGTAGCTTATATTCTATCTGGGGAGAAAACAAGTACACCTATAAAGAGAACAAACACCCCTCATAATACAAAAGACCCAAGTTAATAATGAATTCTGAACATTAGTAGATCCTGAGAGATATTCCAAGGCATTAGCATTCCACAGCATACATAATCTGTGTGATCCTGTCCTACAGTATTGCTCACAAAGGGACCTTAACGATTGTATTGCTGATTCTCAAAAATCA